GTTGCTATTAATGTACTTTCGTGACCACCCTGTATCTCAAAAACTAGAGCCAATCTAGGAAAACGGAGGTCATATTCGGAATCAGGGCAACAAGTTACCAATAAAATGACCCCCAAATGTTTTGCCGCAAAATCTTTGTTGGCCAGTGTAATCAAAGATTATTAAATACTTTTGGCCGCCTAAATCAATAAAATACCCCACAGTGGGTCGTCCGTTGTATATTTTGCGCCATTTTTTTAAGTGTTGTCAAAGATGAATTGAAAGAGGTTTTTTTACTTGTGATATTTTTTAGATACTTGCAAAGACAAATATTGTATCTAGTCTAAGATTATATTTACCCTTTCAAAAAAAAAAATTATGGAATTTAACGGATAAACTATGTATCCTAATCAATAATCAATATCTTTCTATTTTTAAAGTTATAATTAATTTTCTTTTAATTTATAATATAAATATATTATTTATTTTTATAAATATATTATAAATATATTATTTTTATATATAATATAAATATATTATTATATAAATATATTATAAAAATAGTATAAATTATATTATTACAAATAAATGTAATTTTCATTTTAAAATAATGCGGATGTTGTTTAGACTAATCTTCCATAAATAATATGCATATATATATATATATATATATATATATATATATATATATATATATATATATATATTATCTGGAGAATTGTTATGCTGATAGATATGGAACTAATGGTTTTGATTGGCAATTGCAGCAGCATAATGCGAGGAATACCATGGAGAAGAGTGAGGCTTGACCTGGAATTGTTGAGAGGGAGTAAAGGATTCCATGCCAGCCTGTATCCTCGAAGTTATGTAAGAAGCACATTTGTCAACAGGAAGACAAAAGATTTCCACCCAAGGGCAACCACAAAGAAAATCACGGAAAGAGTCCCAGTCAGCTTTAAGGTAGTTGTAAGATGTGCAATGATACGGGGATTCTGATGATAAAGAAGAATGAGATAATAGTTTTAAAAAGACCAAACTATGATCAGAAGCACCTAGGGATAAATGTGGAGAAACTGAGCACTGACTAGGATCAGAAACAAGACATAAGTTGAGTAGAGAAGGTAAATGATTCAGGTTGTCTAGAAAGCTGACTATTTGAGTAAGGGATTGAGAAAGACAATTATTAATTTAAAAATTAAATACTATTATAAAGTTGTTCTTTTTGTTCTTATTTTAATTTTTTTTTTTTTTTATTATTAATTTGGTCAATATCACTGGGTAACAAAAAAAAACTTGTTTTAGATTCAATTAACAGCACTAGGTTTTTCTAGATCAGATTTTTGAGCTGATAAAGAAAATGGAATCCATTTTGATCCTTCACATCCAGATTTTTCTGAAATTTTAAATTTTATTTTTTTTATTTTTTTATCTTAAACCGCTTTGAAGTTATAGTTTTTGCATACTTTCATTTTCAAACATTCTTTTTTTAAATTATGTAAATGTAAGTTTATATTTCTATTTAATTTACAGTAAAAAATAAGGCAAAAAATAGATCCTATTTGTATTTTATTGCAGGATCAATCTGCAGACGATATTGTATAAATAGTTCAAACACTTTCTGTTACACTTGTGATCATTATGTCACTAAAAGACAGAAGAGAAAAATGAAATCAAAATTTTTTACTGCTTAAAACCTCTATTTTGGATATATGGTGGGAAATCATGGCAAAAAATGGGCGCCTCTGTATAATTGCACCAACTGCTACATGTGTTTGACTAAATGGCTGGATGAAAAAAGACCAACTGGCATGCCATTTGCCATTCCTATAATATGGAAGGAGCCACGAAATCATACCACCGACTGCTATTTTTTTCAACAAAAATTAAGGGACATTCTCTAAAGAAAAAGGATAATGTATACAATTTGTAAATCAGCAAAGTTGCCAGAACCTCACAGTGACAGTCTGTCTATTCCAACTCCACCAAGTGTATTCAACCTCAAGAGGTTGAGAGAGCAAGCTCTCTCCAGATACGTAAGACAAATCAAACAAAGAAAATGATGATGATGGCTTTATGCCAGAAATGGAATCAGCTCCATATTTTATTAACCAGCAGGACCTGAACGATCTAATCAGAAAATCAGGAAATTTTGATTTCTGCAAAAGACCAGGGAATAATCAGGGAAATCGGGTTGTATTTTGAAATAATCAGGGAAAATGGCTATGTGGCAAATGTACATAACCTATGTCAGTTTTGTATCATACACGTAATGTAAAAATTTATTCAGAAGATTTTTTTTATGGCCTTCTATTGATAATTTGAATGTTGCTTGTAATTATATTTATATATATTTGCACTAAAGCATTTTTCTGAACTAATTTAAATTGATTTTCTCTAAACTTGAGCTTTTGTTGCTTTAAATTAAGTCAGCAAAAACAGGCTGAGAATCAGGGAAAAGTCAGGGAAATCCATCTTTAAATATTAGTTTAAAGTTTTACTAAGTCGATTAAAAAATATAAAAACAGAAAAAGTTACCCTAAACAATTTTATGTAAACACGACGCAATTGTAAAACGCTTTAGTGGTCAGATCTAATTGTAAAACGCTTTAGTGAACAGGCTGTTGACACAGCTGTAAACGATATCAGTGAGATGGGACTTGATTTAGAACAGAAATATTTGAACAGTTAAACTGTGCGCAGTTTTATATTGCATTGTTTTCTCACTTATTAAAAAGTTGACTTTTGTTATTTGTGTTTTGATTTGTAAGCACCTGAAAATAGTTTAGTTAAAAGTTTTTATGAGTATTATTATAGTTTGTCGGTAATACATTCTCTTTTTAAGGTTTTAAAATACAATTTTCTCATTTAAAGTGTCTATGCAGTACTGAATAGTCTTGCATAAGTGACTTGTTGTATTATATATTATAAGTATTATTTATACTATTAAAATGAGCACTGTTGTATTATTAATTATGAATTTGTTTCGAGAAAAAATTAAAGTGCCTAATTGTTTTATTTGTTAGCATTCTCTACGTGAAAATGTGCTTGGAATTTAGAAGGATCGGAATAATTACAAAATAATCTTATAAGATCTTATAAATTTTACTAAGAATTCATACAATAACTTGGAAATCTTACTAAGAAAACATACAATAACTTGGAAATCTTACTAAGAAAACATACAATAACTTGGAAATCTTACTAAGAAAACATACAATAACTTGGAAATCTTACTAAGAAAACATACAATAACTTGGAAATCTTACTAAGAAAACATACAATAACTTGGAAATCTTACTAAGAAAACATACAATAACTTGGAAATCTTACTAAGAAAGATAAATCTTACTAATCTTATTAAGATCTTGCATTTCTTACAAATCTTAATAGTGAATCCCACGAAAACTTTCAAATCTTAAAAAGAAACCGCACGAAAACTTACAAACCTTAAAAAGATCTTACATTTCTTACAAATCTTATTAGTAAATCGCACGAAAACTTACAAACCTTAAAAAGATCTTACATTTGTTACAAATCTTATTAGTAAATCGCACGAAAACTTACAAACCTTAAAAAGATCTTACATTTGTTACAAATCTTATTAGTAAATCGCACGAAAACTTACAAACCTTAAAAAGATCTTACATTTGTTACAAATCTTATTAGTAAATCGCACGAAAACTTACAAACCTTAAAAAGATCTTACATTTGTTACAAATCTTATTAGTAAATCGCACGAAAACTTACAAACCTTAAAAAGATCTTACTAGTTTTCTTGCACGTGTTGCAAGTCTTACTAATCTTACTAAAAACTTATTAGGAAAACTTGTTCGTTGCTCTGGGGAAGAGTTACAGTGACATTTTGAAAGAAAAAGAACCCATAGAGGTTCTTATGAAGTTATGAGCTTCATGAAATTATTAGGGTTTAAAGATTTATTTGTCGAGATTTTTACTTTTTAAACTTTCTTTTGTGTTTTTCTCAGCTTCCTACTTTGAGAATCTCTTAAAATTCTAAAATGCAATAACTTTTTATTGGATAGAGTATTTGTTTTCAAATTTTCAGTATATGATTATAACATATATGCCCTCCATTTAACCCTCAGAATTTTTATGAATCACTTTAAATACTGATTTATAGGCCTAAACGTTTCAAAACTTCTCACTAAACTATTGAAAACCTTTTCAATAGTTTTGGGCCAAAAAAGTCTTTAACTTTTAAAATTATTCTGATTTAAAAAGAAATATAAAATAATGTAAAATAAAAAAAAAAATCAGAAAATGTTCTGATTTAGGTAAAATCTGACGCGCCAGATTTTACCTTAATCAGACGACAATGACGACTATAACCGTTATGACGGATAATTGTCATCATCGACAAAAATCAACCGTCATGACGCTCTGTTGTCATGGATGCTCTGTTGAATATCCTAAAGTTTAATATAAAACAGATAACGACAAATTGACGAAGAGCATTTTAAAATGTGATCAATTTTACTAATTTTGTGACACTCTTTCCACCATTATGGATCAACCAAATGTAATTTTTTTTTTTTTTAATAAAATCAACTTCATGTGGGTCAAGCGTTAATTTTTTACTGGGATGGAAGCTTTCTCAGAGAAGCTGGGCAAGCGTTATCATTAGAACAAGATTATCAAAGAGAGTATAACAAAAACATGGTGGTAGACATTTGGGAACTACTTCATGAAAATGATAAACGGTACACTCATAAAGCTAAATAAATCTATTCATTTCTTGAGCTTTTTGAGTGATTTTTTACTCACTTTGTTTATTCAATATGCAGTTGTTGTTTCTTACTCAACCGAAAAAACAAAAATACAACATTTTTCTTTTTCTGTCACAATAGAAACAATTTTTTTTTTGCGGATTGGTCATAAAATTAAAGTTTGTGCTTAATGTAGTCGTTTTTCCATAATCTTTGGTTGTAAGAAATTGAAATATATCACTTTTAATACAAAAAAAAAAACTGTGTTAGATATCGTAACTATCTATAACAATTATCTAATGATTTACTTTTTTCTTCATAAGAATTTACATGGTGTTGAAAAAAAAAAAGGTTTTAACATTGTTTAACAGGAAGATAAGGATCACACGACAACTTACACTTGGTTCGTGTCTTTTCGAATTTTTCACAATTCACTTTTGTTGCCATTCTTTCGCACCCGGGATCGTCAAAACAATCGTTTTCTTGAAAAATAACAAAAAATAACTTTAACTTTCTGATAAACTGAAATTTTAACGGAATTATTAAAAATGGGTTTCTCCCCTTATTTTATCATATTTGAAATATATAGAAAGTTACGAGGGAAATTTACTGGAATATCTTTAGGAAATGTTTTGACCTAAAATGAATGACACAAAATTTTTTAAAGCTCTAACTATAATGTTTTTATATTTTTATACCTGGTTTGTAAAGTGGTAGATTATTCAACCGCTCTATCAAGTTCCATATATTGGCAGGAGAATCATATCTACAAAGTAGATAGTAAACACGATCACCATTTTCAACATAAAAATCACTTGCACAACCAACGTATTGTGTATTTGCCCAGAGCATCTAAATATAGAAAAACAAATGCAATAATATATAACTGTTTGCTTTTCTTGTTTAACTAGGTATATGAAAAACAGTGATGGATCCAGGGGGGGGGGGTATCCCCTACCCAGAATCTGAAAGTCCTAAAATATCTTAGAGCCGAACGACCTTTTTTTTTGGGAGATGTAAATGTGGTGCAAAATACAAACATCTCTCCCCTCCCCCTCCTCCAAAAATTTCTGGATCCGATATATTACTTAAAATACCATCTATAATGTTTCACTGTCCCTTGATATTATTATTTTATTATTAAAAAGAGCATTTAATCTTAATGATCAAATGTTCAAATCAAGTTTAAAACATTTAAAACTCTTTTAACAAAAAAGTGTTTTGCAATTCTACTCATTTTTCTATTACACTGAAATTTAAAACAAACTTAAACAAAAATTCGTTAAAAGTTTGTTTTTATAAATTACTTTAAAGATTTTAACGATGAAAATGTTTTCATAAAAACAATCTTTCTTTAATTATATTTAAAAACATATACTTCAACTTGTAAAGGTACCTGCATAAGATGTCCCGTGTTTATAACATCCTCTTTAGTGAGATATTTTAGCCAATTTTCATCAAACTTTCGAAGTCTCGGTTGTTTTGTATATCTGACTTCGTCATGCCTTAAAGAATTAATGATATATTAAAAGTTCTGTGTTCTTAATATATGTAAAATATTAAAATTTTAATATATTGCATATTTATGCATATATTATGTATGCATAGTTATGCTATATGTGTTATAATAACTATCATCTAATTTTGGTTTTAGATCGACTTTCATTATTTTGGTTTTAGATCGACTTTCATTATTTTGGTTTTAGATCGACTTTTATTATCATAATATATATAATTTTTTAAATAATATAAAGTTAAGTTGTCTTTTTATTGATTGGATGAAAATAATAAAGTATTAAGAATGAAAATAACAAATAAAGGATGAAAATAATAAAGTAATAAATAAAGGATGAAAATAATAAGGTTTTTAAACCAAAACTGTTAAAAAAGTATATACTTTTCACAGCTATCTTGATTATGGAAACATTGCTTTGTGCAGCACTGACGCAACCAAGATAAAAAAAACTCCAAAACCAAAATCTTCTCAGTAGAAAACACGTCATACGCAGGGCCGTATGAACAAATATTATATTGGGGGAGGGGGGAAGCAGTATTTCCAGGAAATAGTTTTAAGGACCTTTTTTCCTTTTTTTAGTCATTTTTTCATTCAAATACTTCAAAATTATTTGTTTGAAAAATTATTGGGGGGGGGGGGAGGCAAATGCTTCTGCTGCCCACCCGGTTGCTACGGCCCTGATACAAATTATTTTAAACTTAAATAGTTTAACAAGCTACCTGGTTTGCTTTCTTCTCTTCCTTTTATAACTAATTAAAATCAGTGTTAAAATAACTCTTAAAGCTATTAATAATTATTGATTAATTACTTTAACAAATGATTCTTTTTATAATTTTTTATTTTAAATCAGCTCTTAATTTTTCTTTGTACATCTTGAGGTTTTTATTAATCTTTTATGAAATTGTGTGAAACTTTTTTGTTTTTTGCTTTTGTTAATTTAAAATATATTTGAAGTGAATTTTAACTGTTTTATAGAAAAATTATATTTTATAAAATAACTGTTTGTAATGTAAAAATACGATGTTTACATCGTATTTTTACATTACAAATAATTTTTTTGGGGACCTCTAGCTGTGATAGAAAGCTTAGTGGCTTCTAATAACATATATATATATATATATATATATATATATATATATATATATATATATATATATATATATATATATATATATATATAAATATATATATATATATATATATATATATATATATATATATATATATAGATATATATATATATATATAGATATATATATATATATATATATATGTGTGTGTGTGTGTATATATATATATATATATATATATTATTAGATTGCACTTGTTCGAATTTCCCACTTATTTAAAGCAATATTCATTTCCTGTGAGTTTTCCTTATCAAACTCATGTAAATATTCATCCATTATTCAAACCTGCAGTTCTACAAAATTTCGTTTATTCAAAGTAATATTTTGCTCCCCTTGACAAACACCCTGTTAGTTATTTGAAGTTTTTCATATATATATATATATATATATATATATATATATATATATATATATATATATATATATATATATATATATATATATATATATATATGTATATATATATATATATATATATATATATATATATATATATATATATATATATATATATATATATATATATATATATATACTACTGTGATCAAAAAGTAAGGTGAATTTTTAATTTGAACTTCCCGTCTTATTCGAATCGTCCAATCTTTTTTATTTTTAAGTTGGTAGGAATGTCATTAACATTTGCGCCAAATTACATGTTAAACTCGTAATTATTTTTTTTTTGTTTACGCTTGTTTCTGAAGTACCAAAAGTGCATTCGGCGATTTTCACGATGTCTAATTTTGTTGAGCAAAGAAGTGCTATTAAATTTTATTTGCGGAATGATATTTCTGCTGCTGAAACGTATCAAATGTTGCAAAAGGCCTTCGGTGAAGAGACTATGTCTCAAAAAAATGTTTACAAGTGGTACAAAGACTTTAAAGAAGGCCGAGAACGTGTTGATGACTTGGAACGCTCCGGACGATCATCGACTTCGATTGATGATTGCCACATCAACAAAATCAAAGAATTGGTGCTTGCAAATCGTCGGTTAACCATTCGAGACCTTGTTGACATGGTTGGAATATCATTTGGGTCAGTGCAAGCGATTTTGAAAGATTATTTGGGCCTCAGAAGACTCAAATCACGTTTGGTGCCGAAATTTCTCAATTTCTTTGAAAAAGAGCGTCGCGTTAAAACGTGTGAAGCAATGCTTTCTGACTATCATGACGTCTACAAACAAATTATTACTGGCGATGAGACTTGGGTCTACGCATACAACCCTGAAACAACCGACCAATCGAGTGAATACTGTGAAAAAGGCGAGCCGAGACCGAAGCAACCACGTCAAAGTCGCTCAAAAATCAAGGTCATGTTGACTGTTTTCTTTGATTATTGTGGTGTCGTGCACTACGAATTCCTTCCAACTGGCCAAACTGTCAACAAGGAATATTATTTAAGCGTTATGCGACGTTTGCGTGAAGCTATTTGCAAAAAGAGACCGGAATTATGGGCCAATAACTCTTGGATTTTGCACCACGATAATGCGCCTTCGCACACAGCACTGGTTCTTCGTGAGTTTTTCGCCAAAAACTCTACCCATGTTGCTCCACAACCACCGTATTCGCCCGACTTAGCACCGTGTGACTTCTGGCTGTTCCCAAAGCTCAAGAGACCACTCCGGGGAAATCGTTTTGAGTCCATTGAAGAGATCCAACGTGAATCGGCACGCACATTGAAGGCTATCCCTACCGAGGACTTTTTGGCATGCTTCGAAGACTGGAAAAAACGTTGGCAAAAGTGCATTGGGGCCGGGGGGGATTATTTTGAGGGGGACGAAACAGATTTGGAAGAATAAATAAAGATTTTTCATTTTATAAAAAAATTCACCTTACTTTTTGATCACAGTAGTATATAAACACGTTATCAAAATATAAAAAAATCAAAGATATTAAACGTAGTTCCGTGAAAATTCCAACATGACGTCTACGCAGTATTTTTAGAAAACGATTGAGAAAATTTAGCATATTTATGGTTTCATTTTACTATCTATTTTTGCTAAAATCGAAATTTAGTGAACGTGGTACAATAGTTAGCGTGCTTGCCTCAGAAGCAAGTGGTACAGGATTCAACGCGAGCGGTGGACATGATTTCCGCCATCGGTAAAGAGGGATGTGTGAACTTCTTAGTTAAATGCAATTTCTTAATGCCCTGTATCAAAACCGTTATCAGCTCTTGGAGTACTTAAATGAAAAAAAATTGAAAAAAAAAATTTATCGTAACTTAAAATATGTCACTTTAAAGAGGGTTTTCAGTTATTCGGAAGGAGGTTCGAATAACCGAGAGTTTACTGTTTATATTTTTGATTAAAATCTTACAAACTTGTGAAGCAAGTAACATAACATACCATGCTTGTGCTGCAAGTGACATAAGTTGGTCAGGAGAAAATGATCCTGCTTGCATATTTCGTCTAGTCAAATAGATGCTCTCTCCACTTTCTTGACATGGATGATCAAATATTCCTAATCGATTTTGTGCCATCATTGACACGCAATTTTTAGCATTATCAGCTAGCGCTTTACTATAAGTTAGTGGACGATCCACATACAAGTTTCGTATGCTATTATGTGAGTTTTCAGTTGCTGCCGGAGATACTAAAGTTAAAATAAATAAAACTTAAAATATTTTTATTATTTAAAAAAAAAAGTGATTTTTGATAATGCTGACTTGTGATGTTGACTTCAGTTTAATTATTTTTGACATATATATATATATATATATATATATATATATATATATATATATATATATATATATATATATATATATATATATATATATATATATATATATATATATATATATATATATATATATATATATATATGTCCAAAAAATTATCAGCTTTTAAAGTATTAAAACAGGTAATTTTTATTTATCAATAATTTAAAGCATCATGTTTACCTAGCTGAACAGTAAAAGAATCGCCATTGTACCCTGTAAAATTAAATAAACAATAAATGCTGTACATTTAATATAAGAAGAATCATAAAAATTTTAAAAATAATGATAAAAATAAACTAAAAAAAAAAAGATAAAAATCAATATGTAATATGTTTATATATAAATGCATAAAATGTAAATGAAATATACACTCTTTTTCTGTGTAAAAATTTCAAGATTAAAGAAATTTTTTTAATATTTTTAAAAATGATTTTAAAAACTACTTTTTTACTTTTTTAAAATCTTCTGATTGACGCGAGTTGCTAAATCTAATTTTTAAATTAATAATGAAAAAATATTTAATTATGGAATTTAATGAAGTTAAAATGGATTAATATTTTTAATTCTTATAAAATACGAATTTAAAAAATTGAAACTAATTTTTCAAATCAACAATAAGCTTCGTTTACTCACCAGTTATTAAAGCTAAAGTTATAATGAACTTTATTACAACTGCCATTATCTAAACGATAAAATAAAGATAAAATAATAATTAAAAATATAGAAAATGTCAAAACAAAAATAAACAAATTACTTAATGCTACCGAGCCAATGGGAGAGTGAAGTTTATTCACCGTCTTAAATCTAAGAAAACATCAGTCTTTTACTGATCGAGCTTGAAGACATCGAAAACAAAAATTTTAAAACACCAATTAATTTACCAAAACTTAAGGAACATAAAAATGTATAAGCTGCAATTTAACAGCAAGTCATAAAAATTTTTTTATCAAGTTTAAAAATTTATTTCAAAGATTTGTTCTTAAAAATAAAATAAAGAAACATAATAAAAAGTGGTGAGACGTAAAAAAGAAAAAAGAAAGTTTCATCGAGGAATTAAAAACGACAAATTTGTTCAAATTTTTTAAAGAGAGGAACTAACAACCAAAATTATCTCAATTTAAAAGCTTTTTTAAAAAGGTAGGTCAGTAGTTTTGGCTATTAGTAAAAACTAATAATAAAAAATTGCTGTGGATGTATAAAAGAAGTTTTTGTAGATATTTTCAATAAACTGCTGAAAACAAGTGTTATTTTAGATAGATTTAATGTAACAGTTGTTAGTGAGTTGAGCAGCCGTGGCGCACTTGCTTCAGAGACGTCAGATCCGCGGTTCAAAACCCACCTCTAGGCAAGTTTTGCTACATCGGTTGGTAAGGAGGCGTGAACTTCCTATTAAATGCTCTTCCGCGGTGCTCTGTGATAAGACCGCAAGGACTTCTAAGGGTACCTAAAAAATTAACAAAAACAAAAAAAAAAAAGTCCCATTTTTAAAAGATAAAATGGGGTCTGATAACAATTTGCAGACCTATTTTGGTGTTATTTCTTTCAAAAATCTTTGAGTGAACAAATATGTAAGTATTTCAGTTAAATTCAGATAACTTAAAGATATGAAAAAAGTAATATAAAGAAGTAAAACGGTCATCTTTATTGAAACCGCGATTTAAATCTGCGGTTTAAACCGCGGTTTAAATCTGCGGTTTAAACCGCGAAATCTGCGGAACATGCACTTATACAGCTAGCTAAATTATTAAAAAACTTTTCTATAAAACAAAATTTATAAAGCAAAATTTATAATCCTATTGTGATTCTATGCTCTAAAACCATTTTAAAATTTGTAAACAGAAGCTAATACGACTTGAAAGTTCAAATGTAACAATTATTTATATAATAAATAAAACTATAAATTATTTATTTATAGTAAACTCTCCGAAGCTTACTGACATTTTTTTTCTTTAGGTTCTTCTATTTTTCCCTTCGTAATTATTATCTTTTCTGTTGTACTCTTTTTATTTACTTAAATATTTATTTATATTAAATATTTGTTTACTAGTGAACTGTAAATAATTATTTTGTATAAATAAATGAAATTAAAAATACATATCAAAAATAATAAATGTGAAAAATATTTATTTTTTCTAATACATTTTATATTATACTCTAAAAAATAACATCCATTTTTACTTAATAAATTCATTTTCTTAAATTAAAAACTTATTGTGAAAAAAAAGAAAAGTTTAAGAAATAAGTTTTATTAACTTTCTATTAACTTCAAAATTAAAAATACTTTCATTAAAGTAAGATGTTTGTTCCATAAAACGAAACAATTATTTTAATTTTTTAAAAGAAAACTTTACCCAAGAAACTAATAAAGAATAATATTTAGGAAAATAATATTGAAAATTACCTTTAAGATGCGCTTCTAAATTATTATGCAGGTTGTGAAATGCTAGTAAATTTAAAAGAGCTTATATACACGACTTTTACACCGTGAAGAGATCAAACGAATCAAAATTAGATTTTATCTAATTAACGTGTTTACTAACAATTTCATGTAACAAAAGTTAAAAGTTTGTTGTATTCAATTTATATTGGATTCTCAAGTTAATGCAACCAAATATGTATACTAATGCTTAACGATGTAAAATTGATGCAATTGGACAAGTTTTTCTATGTTTGCATGTTACTAGACTGTGTGAAAGATTTCAAACTGTAAATCTTCAACGGTTTTGAACATTTTGACGAACATAGCAAAAATAAACACGCTTAACACAACGTTGTTGATTTCGTTGCTAAAGTAACACATCCTGATTACGTGACTTTAACACACAAGGACTAAATAAAATCATAACTAAATTCTAGAAGCATATACAAATTAGAATAATTACTGAATTTACGTAAAATAATATACTTTTATTTTCTTTTATTTATCAAGAAAGAATGCTCCAATTACCGGCGAAATGAAAAAAACTAAACTAAAAAAAAAATACCGATTAGTTAAAGTATCAATAAAGTTAATAATAATTTTCAAAACTCAGATATTACAGATAGCAATTAAGATTTAAAAATTAATAAAAATTAAGCGAGCCCTAGACCAGTATGGTTTACTAGCTAAGCTAGTAAACCATGTGTTTTATAATAGTTTTTGTAGCCAACCTGGTTTATATCCGTTTTATGTCGTCTAAAACTGAATCTCGGCGCAAACACAACCTAATTTCTTTATAATCTAAGAACAACATTAAAGCGTACCCAGTAAGGCAGTCGATGAGTACCCGGACACCCAGATATCCACCAGTTAGTTACTACCCATGGAGTATTATTAAATAACGGGTAACCATCATTTGATAAGTTTAAAATTCATTTCATTCATATTTTAAGTTTAAAATCATTAGAAGTAATATAACAGCTTAACAATAATAACTTGGTATGTGAAAGAAGATCTTGAAGACCTTGTTGTTAAAAATCTCAATAGTTTTTTTAACACATTTATAAAAACATTGAAAGGAATAGCAAAAAATACAGTTAGTTTGTAGCCTTCGGGTCGTATATTTAACTCATTACCTTTAAGCGATCGAAGTTTCTGACGCATCATAATAGATGTGAAACTTGCGGTCGAGTACTGTTATAGCTTCATTTTATGAAGTTGCATTTTGAGTTATAGTAATGGCTTTAACTCCGCATTAAAAATAAAACGTTTACTATCTTTTGGTAGCTTTTTTCTAAATAGATTATTTGCATCTTCTTTTAATAAACTTCTCGCACGAAGAAGAATGAATCGTCACTGAGTACTTATCTGAATATTTTGACATCCATTTTTTTATATTTGAATAAACTTTTGTGAACCAACAATAAATTACAATATCAAACATTAGGCTTCAAATATATTAAACTAAAACAATAACAAAGCATCCAAATTTGCAAAAAAATTGATAAAACGTATAAATATATCGATTGATATAAAAATGCAATATATATAGCATTATATAAATATATCGATTGATATAAAAACGCAATTATAGAACGTAATTAATATATAAATGAGTATAAAAACGCAATGATAGAACATAATGAAAGTATCCCAGTGGAGAAAAGACGTCGAAACGACGTCTTTGAAAGTCTTATTTACGATGTCTTTAAGACGCCTTTTTTTAATCGATTATGCAAATCTAAAAGCCATCTTTTTCTACATCGAAAAGACGTCTTTTTTTATCTTAATCTTGTCATAAAAAGACATAAAAAATGCGTCTTTAAGACGTCTTTGTTTATCAATTATGCACTTCTAAAAAAGTGTTTTTTCTCGGAGTCGGATCGGAACTTTTTTGCCAAAATTATAAGTATACTATAGTATCCTATACACAATAGTATTCCTACTTTTCTTATATGAAAAACTGTTTTTTTCAAATAAAAATGATAATAGCTCTTCATACAAAGTATGACAAAAAGCTTTTTCCGATGCCGAGAAAAAAACCTCTTTTAGATGTCAATATAAAATAAGAAGCATTTTCTACATCTTTTATATGTTTAAATATAGGAGAATAAATAATAAATAAAACAATAGCATTGTTCAACAAAATATTTTTTCATCTTTCTCTTTCTTTTCTGTTTCTTGAGCGAGCTCTGTTTCTTGGAGTTGTTGAATAAAATTAACAATTTCACGTCGAGAAATCCTTTCATACGAGCAGGTTACGACTTCTAGCTGGTTACCACTTCTAAAAAACAAGTGAACATAAAAAACAGTCTATTGTTTAAATGTAATGCAAAAAAAGCAAACGAAACTTGGTTAGCTGAGTAGAGCACATTATACATACCAACTATTAATTCAAAAAGGGCTGATCCTTATAATCCACTCATGTTTCCAGCGCCGTCCCTTCTTTTTGAACCCACTAGGTTAGATTGGGACAAGAGTCAAACAAAAACAGTATTAAAATATATAAAAATGAGAGTGCTAAATAAATTTACAACCATCAAAATGACTGTACAACGATGTATTTTATTATGTAGTACTTAAATCAAGCTAAACATATGCACCTCTCAAATTTGCTATGAAAGCCAAGTTATTGAAAACAGATAATGATATTTTTTTGTCTTCTATAACATGACTTTTTAATTGAGTTTTACTGAAATTAAGTGTTGTAGACTCATAACAATTTAAAAATCCGTTATTGACTAAAGACTATCAAAACAAAAAGATAATTCAGCTAACTCACCTGGAGAGTTGTTATTCATTTAAACTGGAAAAAAGTATTAGTATGCTTTACTTAACAACATAAAATCATAAAAACTGGCGATATAATTATCAACACAGATGAAATACACATAAACAAAAGTGAAGACTAGAACGCTGCAATGATGTTTAGATAAAAGAAAGTGTATCTTTCCAGTGTCATTTTCACTTGGTTTTTTGTATCCAAACCAAAAATTTTGCGACCAGTTCTAAAGATAAATCTGTTGTCATTATGTGTATTTGTATAATTGCTTTGTTAATGACAGACAACAGTTAACATGGAAATAACATATTTAACATAAAAGTTAAAGAGCCAATCTTTTGTATAAACAATTTCATCATTCTTATATTTCATCATAAATAAAAACACCAAAATTATTCAGATCATTTAAAAATATATTTAAAAAAAACTGCAAGCCTATTGAGAAATTATAGAGAAATTGATTACAGGTTTTATATTTCGTCTGAAAATAAATATTTTAATTTGGTATGTAATAAACAACGTTCTTCAAGCTTAATAAATTAAAAAATTAGTCTAAAAATAAACGGTAAAACTTTTTAAAACTCTTACCTGCGACTAACTTAATTAAGACTAGATCATATCAATATTATCGTACTGGCACCACGCCATCCACTTTTGCTTCTTCCGATTAACATTTTTTAGCTAAACAGATGCAATTGTATATTTATTCCGGTATATATATATATATATATATATATATATATATATATATATATATATATATATATATATATATATATATATATATATATATATATATATATATATATATATATATATATATATCGCGAGATTAGAATTATTTTGTTCTCTCCACTTTTTGAAAAAAATGAGTTATTAATTGTGTAATGTACCTCAAAATAATGTTTTTCTACTATATTAAAACCTAAGTTAAAATCAAAAAAGTTTCGGAGAAAACATAAGTAATAAAAATCTTTTTATATGCCGTCTCCTAAAGTTTTTATTTTTTAAATCGTTTTATCTCGAAACAAAAAAATGTGGAGATGAAACAAAATAATTCTAATCTCGCAATTTGCCGACTGTCATGACGACATTTACCGACTGTCTAACCTATATCAAAAGGGTCGACATTTACCGACTAACTAGTCTAAAACGGTCCAATTTGCTGACTAAGGGTCCAGTTTGCCGACTAAAAATCATTGACGGGGGGGGGGGGATGTGTGACACCCCCACACCCCCCTATCGCGCCGCACAGTGGGGTATTTGATTGATTTAGGCGGCCAAAAATATTTAATAATTTTTAATTGAAAAAGTTTAACTTTTTTCAGGAAAAGCTGGTAGAAAATCTAAATAAAAAGAGAAAACAAAAGATTTTGAAAAAATTTATGGATGATAGACTCCCTCCCCCCTCCCCACAGCTTTTTTTTTTTACACTTTACTAAAGCATAAACATGATAAGAACCTATTTTATATAGTTCTTATCATAATATAAACCTATTATATATGGTGGATAACTTTTCTTCCTCTAACTTTCACTCAGAATTGAAAGTCAAAACATCGCGATTTGTGTTATTTTAATGCATTCGGAAGCACTTGCAATTACTATATAACTCTTATTAAGCTATGGTAAATATTTAAAAAAATAAATCTTTACAGCTATTTATATTTCAACTCAAAATAACTACTATTAAAAGGATAATGCCGAAAGCTGAAATTCTTCATCAGAAGACATCCCTGATTGCTCGGAAGACATTCCTGATTACTCTGAAGATTTCTCCTCTGTGTTAACAATATCAGTAAAATTAGAAAGTTTAGCTGGAAGTAGCATCTGCAAGGTTTCTTTTAAGAATGGTTTAGTGTTTTTTCTTGGTAATTTTATCATGCTAAGTAAAATAGGATCTGAACTAATTAGTAATCTATTAAGAGCGTCAATGTCGCAAGACTCTCTGGAAAACTTTCTAGCATTGTTTTGATGGTAAAGGCAAAAGTATTTATTTCGTGCTTCAGCTGCTTCTTCAGATAGCTGACCAATAGAAAACAAAGCATGCTCTATTACAATAAAACCATGAATAAGGATTTTAAGCATTGTAGGGTCATCGGATACCATTGGTATAACTGGACATATAATTCCGCAGTTTTTACAATATATCTTCTAATTTTTTTGACATCTATTTTATGTTCACTAGATATTGTTTTTAATATTACTTTAAGGCGATATATTAGGTTTTAATCTATACACAATATTTCAGCTGCCAACTGTGGGTCTGCAAAAATTCGTCGGCCAGTGTTGCCATCATTTGAGTTACCAAATCCAGGCTTAGGTACGTCTACAATTAGACCTATTTTTTT